TTCATTACTGAAAGCAATCGATGAAAGAGTAGAAAAAGTTGAAGAAAATACCTAAAGAGTGTCGAAGATGTTAATTCATTTAGCCTTGCTGCGAGTTGCAGTATGTGAAATTCTTGCATCTTGGAGGAACTTCTATGAGCTTTAGGATTACAATTTCCGGCAGATTGCAGGCATTTGCTGTAGAAATAGTTTAATGATTGTTGCAGGAATTTGTGCAAGCTGCCAACTAATTCTTGCCTTTTTATAGTGTAATCAACAAAGGCTGTATAATGTCAAAATTTATGAAAACCCAATAAAAATTCAGTAAATAAGTTTGAAGTCGATGTTTTCAGAGCACTAATTGCGATGTGATGCCTAAGTTTCCTTTTTTACTTCAATGTACAAAGTGACAAGGGAAATGCTGCTTATACTAACTAGAGCATTCATACATTGTATATCATATACACATATTATGTGCTTGTAATAGTTATTTAAGCAATTAAACTTAAACCATATTTGAAAATTAAATTTTAGGAAATTTAATTATACTTTTAATATTAGTAATTTTTAACTATTTGAATTTTTTCAGGAAAAGTAAAAAAACGAAGATATGACTTATGTAGTAACGTCAGAGTGCTTAGAAATCAAGAATATACTCTATTATAACGAGTGATCAATTAGAGACTAAGAGCGGAGGTAATATCAAGCGAGGTATAGTGTGAAGATGAGGCATCAAAAGGCATTCCTATGCTACAAATATAAAATAACATAACAAGCACAAGTGAAAACTTTATAAGAACTGACAGAGTGATGGTGAAGAAAAAACGATGAAGAAATAATTCGCTCAAGTGAAAAAGAATATAGAACCATTGGACTCATTCACGACAAGGAACAATGAGAAGAAACAAGTGTTTGCGCCTAATTATTGTTTTCACATTTTGAACGAAATTATGAAATATGATTTCACTCTGTGCAGATGCCAAACTGCTTGGCGCTACAGCAAGTTGCAGCAAAGTGATGCAACATGCTGAGCTTGCACTTCATTGGCATGGGATGCGTAGAGCTGGCATTCTATTTTGCTTTGCTCCTAATGTGTGCTTGTAACAACAATGGTTCATGTGATTTTACTTGAAAACCAACATAATCAAAACCTGTAGCAATGGCTTTTTTTTAACAGAGGAATTTCCCTTATTAAATGATGTACTAGTCCAACTACTGATACTTTTCGTGTCAAGTAATTTAGTCATAAATGCCAATTTACAGTGCTTACAGCTATAATATGGGCTATTCTAAGCTTTTGGTGAGAAGGAATAAAACAATGTAATCACAAGCAGTTTCATGTTCGTTCACAAGACTATTGGCACTTACATTACCATAATCATTTGAAACATTATAAATGTCAATTCTCCAATCTGATCATATCATCATAAAAATGATGTCATCACCAAGATTCAGTACAAGCATTGATTGTTGCATCCCAAAGTCCTTGTGCAGATGCCAACTTTAATACTTTTAATTATACCATGCCTCGACAAATGAAATTTAACTTCATGTCCTTTTCTGAGGGACATTATGACATTTTTTGCTGGAGAATTGAGACACATTCCATGTTCCCGTTTTCCTTTAGGTAGTTTATTCAAGAAAAGTGTCTTCTATCCTATAAAAATACTCTATGCTTTATTTACATTCAATTTCATCTATAACCGTTATAGTAAACGGCAATATAAAACTAGTAGTTTTCGTAATATAGAAAACTGTTTACCCCATAAATGCTAATAATTTTTCATTCAACAAATGTAAATTTTTGAAACAAGAATACTGTAGCTAAAATTAGTTTTGCGAATAAAATATTCATAGCCTTGGACAAATTTATATATCATGCGTTTTGTGCATTATAGATGGAAATTTTTATAGTGATTTGAAGTTGCGTTTTTAGCCGCAACACCACTGCATAATGCATCCATTATCCAAGGCCTAATACTTTGTGTTGATGACTGCACTTTCTTGCTTAAAATTTCAGTCATGTGGAACCTCTTGCAGCTGAATAGTATACTTATCTGTTATGATTTTCAACAGGCTAAATTTACCTAACATGATAAATAATCCTGAAAAAAAAAGAATGTTTGAAGTACCAAATTTTAGTTCCACAGGTAGAGTTTTCATCAATGAAGAATGTACGTCAATATGAGACATGTATATCAACAGGAAAACACATCATAATTGTTAATAGCAGGACCAGGTACACCGCAAACACATTGTTATGATTTATAAGTTGTAGATGTACGTATGACCAGTATTTTTTATCATAATTACTGTACAATGAAGTATAACATCATGTACTTCCCATAAATCCCTGATAATAATGAGAGAAAAACAAACATTATTAATTATAGTTAAAATTTGAAATTTCATCAATTATTCTAATTGTCATTTATCGATGCCACACCTATAGGAACTCTGTGAGATTTTATCAAACATGATTGTAAGTTGGGTTGTTGCGCCTAAAAAAAAACTAAATATATCCCCAATGTTTAACATTGTGTGATTGGATAAGAAGGGGTTTTTTAGACAAGATTAAATAAAAAGATGATGAAAGGTTAAGTAAGATAAAAAAGTCATATAAGTCATATAAGGGTTTGTTTGAGGTAGCTGCAGCGGTTTGAAGAAATAACTTTGAAACTGCTGTTAAAAAATTATGGTGGCTATTAAAATTTTTTTTCTTTTTTGAAAAAATTAGACCGTAGCTTTCTAATAGCCGCCTCAAGTAGTCAGATATGGTGGGAAAACACAGCTTTCAACTGCAGTTTTTCGAGAACGCTGGTTACGTTTTGCCGAACAAACAAAAACTGTGGTGCGGCGCAGCATCGCCGCCTCTAACACACACTAAGTTTAGAAACACTTTATAGTCTTTCTGACCCCCAATTTAACGTGAACAAACAGTTGAAGATCATAACTTAAGAATTTAAAGGTCTTTTCTACTCTCATTATAACGAAATAAAGGACCCCATCCACGGTTAAGACTGGTAAAATTTGGATTTGCATCATCATAGGAGGGCCCGGTGTTGAACTATACTGGAAATTAATCATATTCATGTCACATGTTTGACTACAGATTTAGGAGGCTATGAAGGTCTTAACATATCATACAGGCAAGCTACCATTTGTATAGCATGCGAGCTTGCATGTGAATAAAAAAAATTTCACCTTTTTTTTTCGCTTATTGTACGAGTATGCCCCCTCTCTCTCACGATTGAGATGGAGCTATATGATCTTAACAATAATGGACATTCCAATGATGGCTGACTAGGGCGGAAGGAAAATTTTACTCTATTATTTGTATTAAAGGATGTTTGGGACTATCGTTTTGTTTGAACAGTAGAACTATGCTGGAAATTGGCCTTGAATTTAATCATATTTGAGTTATCTTTGTTTTTCTATTAATTTCCTTCAAGAACCTGATAGATATTCATGAACATTGTTCAATAATGATGCTTATATAGTTGATTAAAGTTTCAAAATTTTTTGGGCTGATTTATCTTAGTCCAATTTTTTAATTTAGTTTTTATAGCTTGAGGATGATTAGGAGATTAAGTTTGTGTCTTTAGTGTTAGAATAAATCAGTGAGAAATTATTTTGTACGATTAATTAAGCCAATGATTTGGAGTTATTACTAGTGTTATAATTTTTCTAAAAGCAGTTTGCATTTGAGCATATCTAAAACTAAATGCATGGAATGGGAGTAGTAGATCTAGTGGTGGGGCTGTAACAATGGGCGATCAATTCATTAAAAGGAGTGAACATTTTAAATATCTTGGGTGTGTTATTCGAAGTGATAGTGATGCAGATGGGGATTTTATTAGTAGAATTCATGTTGGATGGTTGAAGTGGAAGAATGCATCGGGCCTATTGTGCGATAAAAAAGTACTGCATAGACTTGAAGGAAAATTTTGTAAGATGGTGGTGAGACCTACAATACTTTATGACGCAGAATGTTGGCCTATAAAAGAGAAGCATAAAACTAAGTTAAATGTAGTTGAGACGAGAATGCTTAAGTGGATGAGTGGCTTTACACTTAAGAGATAAAATGCAATACAAATATATCCGTGAAAGGGTTGGTGTAGCTCCAATCGTACACAATATTAGAGAGAGTTGTCTTAGATGGTTGGTTACATTAAACACCGACCATTTGATGACCCTGTTAGGAGAGTAAGATGTTTTTGATTTGACTTATGTTAAGAAAGATAAAGGTCAACCTAAAAAGACTTGAGCATGTTGTATAAATAATGATATTAATTTATTAGAATTAAATGAAAATATGACCCTTAGTAGGACACAGTGGAGAGAAATGATTCATGTAGCCAACCCCAATTAGTGGGATAAATGCTTGTTGTTGTACAAGTGTTATAAGCTTTCTGTAGTTGCAAGCAGTCCATTCTTCAACATGTCAAATGATTTTCATTTACTGATGTGGATGCAGAACTTATTTTCTGATCAGGTTACTTTTATAGCAACTACACAAATTTCAATGACAGTAACATTGAACTTGCATCTCGGGTTTTTCATTCAATTTTATTTTAATTGTTAGCGTTTAGCATTTCTTTCATGTTTCATTCAAATTTTGCGATTATGAACAACCTTCTTAAAGTTATTTCTCCTTGCTTGCGCTTGTTTGGCATTTACAGCTGCATTTTAGCCTCTTGGTATGAACATGCAAGACTATACATGCATCTGTACTTGGGTTTCTTTTTTGCTCAGCTGAACTATCCTGTATGTCAAACGGGCCATTTCTTTCTGTGCTGTATTTCAACCTGAAAAACAAATGAATATACTGATATAGACTAAACTATCAAAACATCTATTTTCTGTATGTGGTGCATTGCTTCTGTTTGGTTTACTTGTCATCATCTTATGAGTTATATAATAAGTTTGATTACAAATGCTTACTGCAAAATATGTAATATTTGTCAATGTGGTTCTGGTTTCCATCATCGTCTTATTCATATGCCCCATTACCTCTGCAGAAAATGTTGTTACCCTGCGGTCTTCCTCCAGAGAGGGAAGAAGATTGAGGATGCTGGATGCCTAATGAGGCTGGACTAAGAAGGTTTGCTGTATTACTTGTGAAAGAGGAATTTAATAATCTGAATTTTGTGTTCATGTAGTTTGACACCACATAATTGTGTTTCCAGGTCCAGAAGTCAAGTATCTTTGTTCGTCTTCATTGGACCGGTTATCATCTTCATGGAGAAACTTAGAATATCCCAATTTCGAATTGAATTTTAGCTTTACCATCAAGTTGTTTTCTACATTTTGGAGAACTCAATTTAGAAACTAGAGATCAATGTATTGAAGGCTTTCACTTGAAAATTAAGACAATTTGTGTGCGGACTCAAATTTTATGTATTTATAAAATTCAAGTGGAAATTTAATAAAAAATTGGGGGTATGTGTGAAATTTAAAAATGTCTTTAATATGGAAAAAAACTTTGTCCGGACTCATGACGTAGCTTTACGTGCATACTACAATAATATACCGCCGCGCGTGCTACATCGCGGATGTTGTTTCGGGGTTATTGAAGTGGAACCGCAGAGGTTATTTCAAGGATATCTTGGGGTTATTGTGCATACATGTGTGTCTGTGGGCATCTTTATATGAATGTATGTATGTATGTATGTCTATATGTGTGTATGTTTGTATGTATGTATGTCTGTGTGTGCGCGTGTGTGTGCGCGTGTGTGTGCATGTGTGTATGTGTGTGCCTGTATGTACTGCATATTTATATGTTTGTTTGTCTGTATGTGTGTATATTTGTATGTGTGTGTTTGTATGTTTGTATGTTTGTATGTTTGTATATATGTGTGTGCGCGTCTGCTCGTGTGTGCGCTTCTGCGCGTGTGTGCGCTTCTATCCATATAATCTTGCATAAATGACCTTGGAGAAATGATACTCTATCTCTTTTGTTATTCTTGACATTCAGATATGCACTCCAACATTTATGCTAGCTTTCCTTGAGAATAATCCTTCACTCTATGTCTAGAGTACCCATACTTAAATATTGCCCATTAAGTAAATAACAAGTAGTAAGACATCCACCCATAAGAACATAAAGTGCTTAACTAGTACTATAAACTTAGCTTTGTGTTGCATAATATTATAAAATGAAATAAAAATAAAGTGCTTTTCTAGTGATATAAACTTAGATTTGTGTAGCATAATATTATTTTATCCATATAACAAATTAAAGAGACTGCTTTCATATTTTTTGGTTTGATGATGAGGAAAAAAAGTCTTGGAACACTTTATAAATTCCATCCAAGAAATCATGAATATTAATCTCCTTCATAACTTTCCTTATGTTGCCCCAACCACCATCATTTTATATCATCCTCAAGCATGAGTATTACTGCAAATACTTTTTCTTTTCTTTAAGGAAATTCATATAAAAATGTTTTTATTTTAAATCTTCCTAAACAATCTTCAACCACTAATAGCCTTATAACTCTTTTAAACAAGGGAAAATTTATACCATGAAATAAAGTAAGTTGCTCATCCACCACTTTTTCATTGTTATTGCTAATTATACTCTAGTCATCATCCATTTATATAACTAAACTTGAAAATTGTGCAATAGAATATGATGTCAACACCATGATATTATTCTATACATGCTCATTATACATAATAATTCATGTGTTCACACTAAACTTTGGCTTATTAAAAAATTTAACCATTAGACATACCAAGTTCATTTTGTTCTATGTTACTCCAATACACTCATGTGTTCAATGAAAACTTTGAGTAAATTTGAAATGGAATGGGAAGGAAAATAGTGTAGAAGTATAGAAGGCGTATAAAGCAAAGTATGAATTGGGTTACTTTACATTTTATTAACTTACCACTTAGTAAAGTGATAAGATCTGAAGAGATCACAAAATCCCTTAAATGATGATCATCATTACCACTAAAACCCTCTTAAATTGACAAAAAAAAAAAATCTAAAACCCTAAAACACATCGAACATTTCCATTCCTCGGCATAGAATATTTAGCTTATTTATATAAGAAGAAATTTTTATTAAAAAAAGTGGGAAGAGTTGGAGCTGGCTACAAAGAGATACAAATAAATAATTGTGTACCTTTTTAAAGAGCCTAACTATCTTTTTGGAAGAGGTGGCTAGCTATCTATACTTAAAAATTAATTTTTTATTTCAATTGTCAACCATCAATTCTTTTAAATTCAATTTAACATTTTCTCCCTGTAATCTATCCACAATTCAAATTTTGAAAGCTCAAAGTTTTCCAAATTTTTAAATGTGAAATTTAAGTATTAAAATTTTGGCAAGACAAAAAATTATACACATAATCATCAAATACTCAAATTGTATAAATTTTGAATCAAAAACATTCAATTGGTCTTTTATTCTCGATCTTTATTTGGCTTAAGGTTTTCTATTCTTTCAAGCTCTTATAATTTGTCTAATGTCTCATTACCATCTACTCACTCTCTTGTATTTGATGTTAGGCATCAAGCTTAGAGTATAATTAGAAATAGAGTCTAGAGCCTGTGAATGACTTCAATCCCAATTTTTTGGAGAAAAAATTGCGTGCAGACAACTGCTTGTTCGGATAATCAACCACAAGAGGCCATGCCACCATGCATGTGAACTTACTACTCTCATGTGCTCTCCACTAATTGAGTGTTCATACGTGTGAACACTACACGTAATATTCTCTCCATCTTCAGACACTATTTACAAATCTTTGCAGAGCAAATTCGATAAATTAAACTGTAAAGTATTTCCATTTATCCGCTTGCCATATACTAAATAAAAAAAAACTCTATTTGTTCTGCTTAACATATTTTATAACATAACTAACCTTGCATTCATTAGCTTTCTATCACGCTCTTCATGAAAATATGGATAATTATGATATCAAAAGAAGTTTAGTTGTAATAAGATTAATGATATTTTTTCAATAATCTAGAACATTCTATACATTGTTGGGTAGAAGATTCTATGATATTAGTATTAAATAAGAATATTCTAGAATATTTAAATATGAAGAATCTAAAATATGTTTTTCAAGAAAGAATTGCAAGAATTATAGAATATTCTAGATTTTATCTCTCATGTTTATAAATAGGCTTAACTTGTTGTCATGTAAGCTGAAAACGACTCAGCAAAGCTTAGAAATAAAATTCCACTTCTTTTCAACCATTTCAAAATATCCAAACCTCTCTCTTCTCTCAAAAATTTTCAATAATTGGTATCAAAACAACCTAAATTTCAATCTCATTAATTTTATTTTGAATGGTTGTGCCGTGAGTTCTCTTTCCATCAATCATGTTGTCATTCTCAAGTGATTATTTTTGCAAATTGATTAGCTCTTTCATTTTTGAAACTGAGGATTTCTTTGCCTTCTCTATTAGAGCACTAATCGCTGGCTTCAACTTAGTTTTGTAATCAATTTCAATGACCTCAGTTGCAGAAGAAGCCTTTGAAATGAGAAAAATCTGGACATTATTCCCCATTTGTAATTTCCTAATTGCTTTCATTGTTGTGTCGAAGCCCTGATTTCCCTAAACTTCCTCTTCAATTCAAGTAGTGTTTGGTAGCACACTTTTAATAGAACTTAGCCATGAATTTAACCTAAACTAGCCAAACCCCAAAAAAGGGGAAAATGAAATCCAACTCTAACTTAAATCCAATTCTCTCCCATTCTGTCTGCTTTGTAATGTAAATCTTGATATATCAAATCTGATTGTGAAGCAAATTAAATAGATTGACTCTGTTGCTCGCGCGCTCCAACTACGCCGCGAGCTCACAGAATTTCCTAGATTTAATAAATTCTATTTAATGTAAATCTGCATCGCAACCAAACTTTGCCCAGAGTTAAGTGTCCATGCCTTCTCCATCTCACTCCACCTACTCTCCCCCTCTGCAATATCCCTCTCCATAGCATGCAATTCCCTCGTCACCCTCTCTACATCTCTCGTGCTCTTTGGTTGCCCCCATATCCTTTGCCTCAATTCCCCATTCTTCTCATCCAGCTTCCTCTTCTAAATCTCTTGCTTTTCAAGCTCTCTCTCTCTCTCTCTCTTTGCAATATTTTCCCTCTTATCCTCAGTCATGCTAGAAAACGTATCCACCACATTCTCAAATGTATTGATGTAGCCTAGAAGTGCAGCTCGTTCAGCCTAGAGCACTTTTAGCAAAGACATTGCTACGATGAGGTCTCACACCTTGGTCTTAAACTGAGAAACCTCAACCTTAAGGGCTTCAATGTCCTTAATCGCAGAATCCACATGCCAATTAAGGGCACTTTTGGGCAGCTTTTTAGTTATGGCACAACCCTATAATGCAAAAACACCTGTTTGAAAAATAGGCCACAAGTTCGACCCCGTAGCCTGCATTTTGTTCGCCTAAAATTCTTTGTGTGCCCTCAGTTTTCTTTGCGTGGCCTCAGTTTTGTTCACGTGCCCTTAGTTTTTTTCACTATTGTACTTTGGGTATTCATGCTCTAGCTCCCTTCTTCTCTCCATCCTAACTCTGGTCAATGGTCTACGGTGACACTCTCATCTCATTCCCCCCTTCTCTTTGGTTCTAAGTCCCTCTTCTTTGCCATCCTCTTGTATCTTCTTACCCCTCTCTTTCCCCCTCATCTTACCTCGTCCTATGAGATTTGTGGTTGATGTTGAGGATTTAGGGTTGTGGTTTTTGGCTTTCTACGTGGTAGATTGGTTTTTACGACTCTTTCAATTGCTTATCTTTGTGATTGTCAATTGTGGTTTGATTTTTTGCAGTTTATGAAATAGTTCTATGATTGTATTTTGCGGCTTTATTTTATGATTATGGAGAAATTGATGAAACCATTTGATAGAGAATTTGATGGGAAAATACCATATTGCATTTGAGAGAGAAATTGTTACTTTAGTATATGAGTTTTTAAGAATTTGCCTCTTTGCTCCTTATGGTTTTTGGTTCAATGCAATCACTGGTTGATGTTTTGTGGTTAGGGCTTCATATGACTCATTACATTGAACCAAATTGAATATTCTTTATGGTTGAAAAAGGGAGAGGAAATGACCACATTGAATATTCTTTTTATGTGAAATTTGAAATTTATTGAGGTTCATGTGACTCATTGCTCTTTTTGGTGATGGTAGTGATGATGGTCATTGTGATGATGTGGTGCTTGTGATTGTGATGTTTGTAGTGGTGTGGTGTTGGTTGTGTCAGTGGTGTTGTGTTGGTGGTTGTGTGTTTGTGGTGTTGTGCTAGTGGTTATGTGTTGGTGATGGCGGTGGTGGTTGTGTGTTGTTGGTGGTGGTGTGGTGGTTGTGATGGTGGAGGTGGTAATGTGTTGATTTTGTGTGTTGGTGGTTGTGTGCTAGTAGTGTTGTGTTGGTGGTTATGTGCTGGTGGCAGTGGTGTCGTGTTGGTTGTATGTGTG